CAAAAACTTGTAATGTGGACAACATCGGGACAAGTTGTTGTAGTTTGGCAAGACTGGGATGACCGAACTGAGCATGAAGAATGGATGGTGACTCCATGACAACGCCAACATGTGGAGAAGGGCTGAGATGATAAAGGCCATGAGACTCACATCCTGTGCCAATCATGTGTTTCGAAATACGGTCCTGCAAACCAAACAGAGCTTAGTATTAAATGAAATAACACAATTAAAGGTACGAGTTAGTTAAACGAACTAATGGGACATAAGTGAAAGGGAGACCCAGACATAAAACATGATCAATGGATATGGCTGGAAAAATATTAACAGTACCAAAACCATGAGAGGAGATCTAGACCATCAGCCCATTGTTACTGAGGGTAAAAGAGGGTAAATATTCGGACATGACAAAGGAAGAAGAAAACAAGGATTGTTACGAGTGATATGATCGGGTGGCGCCTTTGAGATGATGAGTCAAGGGACCCAAGTCCGAGGGAAGTGAGTTATACCAACAAAAGGTTGTACCTGTAAGTGCAACGAGAAGATGTAGTGAAACAGGAGTGAGATGATCCTCATACCATTAGAAAATTCGTTTGATGAAGATTGCAGGGGTTTGTCTACGAATTAGATGGAAGTAGGATGTATGCAGCGGTGATCGGGGAGGTGGATCAAATGCCATTTGCTACAGGTCGGGAGGAACGTCCATGGAGAGCATAACATCTATCAATTTTGTTGGACTAACTTGCACAATGGTCACATTTTGGACGTCCTTTAATTGGCTTGCGAGACCGACTTCGATCATCACGTTGAGCAGCCATAACCGAGGAAATCATCAGTATGAGGAGGATTTCTCAGTGGACGGTTTGTCGGTATACGAAAATAGCAGAACAAGTAGAAGTAAAGTTGGGGTATGACAGAGGAACCAAAATCTGATCACGGACAGGAGAAACATCATCAGAGAGTCCGTATAATGCCAACAACATGAAGAACTTTGATCGTGGTTCCAATTATTCAGCAGGTGAGTGGAAGCAGGGAGGTATATATCATTAAAAGTCATGAAGAGGGCATGAATTTTACCAAATATTCTGCCATGGGACCAGGATTGCGCGGACCACCATAACAGTTAATAGGTCCTGACAAACTCCAATAAAGAAGTTGAAGTGTCATTGTTATAACAAATCGCTTGTGCCCATACTTTGAACATGTTTCATTAGGAACGAAACATTGTTCAGTGAGGGTGAATGGTGGACCTTATAAAATGCATAACTGAGCCATTCAATTTATCCAGCTGGGAAAGTGTTTCTCTATGAGGAGCAAGTAGTAGTAAGTAGTTCACATTTTGAGTAAGATGATTTAGTACCCTTGACTCTTCAACCAAAGTTGATGTCGGAAGTCCATGTTGCATTAATTTGTGCCATCTAACTTGTCAATGGACAAGTGTACATTCACATAATTGTTATATATCTAAGCCCAAAATACAAATGAGAAATAATAACTAACTAACTAAAAGATATAATATATCTAACAATTTCCAGCCATAGTCTATCTTTCAATCATTTAATATGGTGGCATACAAAGATGGTAGTCTATTTATATTCAAAATAGGCTACGATTTCCTTGAAACCCGTATAGTCTATATGATTTCAAACATATTGTAGCATTCAAACAGGCTATTATTATTTAATGTAATCATAGTTTATTAGAATAATAATAGGCTACAGTTCTTGAATGTAATTATTATGATCTAAAAATCTTAGATGTGTGGGGACATAGATTGTGTATTTACATAGAAAAAGATAATTACAAGTCATCTACCATAAACTATTGTACAAATTTATAAGATATGTAACTAATTGAATCTAGATGCAATGGTTGAGGATTGTCGAAATGTTGGACAAAACACTATAACTTCAATTAGTACATAAAAAAGACTATTTTTATGTGAATATCAACATGAACAATGGATGTATCAATTGTATAACATAGCTGCAATTATAAATAATTGAGGAATAAAAAAAGTAAACAATTATAATTGGACAAAAATAACTAACATTGAGAGACAACCATGTTAGTTTTCTTGATCTTGCAATTAATTTACCTTTCAACATCTTATATCTATTGAATGCACTGTAAAAAAAAAAACATAGCAATTAGGGTCTTCTTATATAAAAATGAAAGTACATAAATTTAAGGTCCTTACCAATCAAGTATTTGGTTTAGATGTGTGGGGAATTTCTTATGCAATGAGAAAAACTATACAATTGTGTTGAAATCACAATTAGTTGCTAGTGATGCTTGAATTGAAAATAATAATTGTTAAAACAAAAAATGATAGATTATAATTAGAAGACAAGAAACTACACTTATTTATGAATGTATGGAACAAAATATATATGTTTCCCATTGATCTAAACAATTGATGATATATGTTTGGATGTCATTTATTTTATTATCCAATATAGAAGGAGATAGGGCTCATTAATTCACACCCACCATCTAATCCGGTATTGTGACTCACTCCAAACATATACCTAAAAGCAAATAATTTATATAACATAAGTATTTAATTAAATACAATAATTTACTATAAAAAATAGTTCAAAGACTCAATAAGTGAATAATTGGAATATTCAATTATTATTCCCTTGCCACAAGTTTTAACACATTTGATATGTATATCTTGTTAGTCTTCCTCCCAATTACAATAGCATCTCACGCAACTTCCATGTGTGTTGTAGTAACTTTTTAATCTTCTGTTGTAAGTATTTTACATTCATGAATGTCTGATTTTTGTATGATTGAATCTGTATGAGAGCAGATCTGAGAGAGAGTTTCTGTATGAAATTCTTGGAGTAGTCATTGAAGCTGGAGCAACAACAGTGAACATAGCTGATACTGTGGGCATATTAATGCCATTTGAGTTAGGAAAACTGATAACTGATATAAAAGCCAATACCCCAGGAATTGCAAATGTTATTGTTTCCACTCACTGTCATAATGATCTTGGTCTTGCTACTGCTAACACCATAGAGGTATATTATTTTTTTAATATCCATGCATCAATATGTAAACTCCTGACAATCATGTTTAGGATCTTAAAAATTCATATGTAAATAATCAACTTAGTATAATAAATATTGATATATTAAATTTTTAGTACAATAAGAAAGAATTATATTGTAATACAAAACTTTTAATTCCACTAATTCTGTTCGATTTCAACTCTTAATTTAAGTAATTGAACATGTATTTCGTCTTTAACATTTTTTAACATTTATCACATTGAGTATATTAAGAAAAAATTAGTGTTAATATATAATTAATTTTAATTCTTTGAAGATTACATATTAGCATTATTTTTCCTTTTAATAACTAAGTGACAACTATTAAAGATAAAACATTATTTATCACATTTTTATTTTTATTAAAAATGAAATATCAAATTTTACTATACTAAGCATATTATTTATATCCAAAATTTATTTTAAAAAATTATATAAACATGAAGAACAAATCAGACTTATATATATTGAGGAAAGCAATTCAACGATCTTTTATATGAAGAATCTCGAAAGAGAAAAAATGATTTTATCCTTTTACCTTGCGAGTAATTTATAAATAAACTCACACTTTAAAAAAAAATATTTACGTAGTTTATTTAAACAATTAAACTAGATTGCAAATTTTTAATGTGAAAGCTACTTCCAGGGTGCTCGTGCAGGTGCTAGGCAATTAGAAGTAACAATTAATGGGATTGGTGAAAGGGCTGGCAATGCTTCGTTGGAAGAGGTGAGTGTCAATATTATATTATGTGAAAAAAATGAATATTCAATATATTTTGTTTTTGTTGCTTTAATAATCCTCAATACATTTTCTTAATTATTAATTAAAATAATTACTGTTAAATACTTTTTTATATTTTCAAGATATTGACTATATTTCATTTTTCAATTTAATATCTTTAAATGGTATTAAGTTTGTTTCTTTTGTTAATTTATCGACCATTTAAGTGGGAAACAAATTGTTTGAGTTCAATCAAAAATTTGAAGTATTTATTATATATATATATATATATATATATAT